TTTTTATACAGATAAAATACTGTGCAGAAATTGATTTACGATAGACTCCTCAGACACGAAAATTGATTCAGAAAGCATGAAATAGAATTTTAATGCAGATAAACAATCGATTTTTTTTTGCCCGAAAACTGAATTCAAATGAATTTTTGCAACGTAAAAAAATCAAAACAATCTCATCAAAACTGAGATAACCTAACCATTCATTTAATCTAACCATTCATTTAACCTAACCAATCAATTTTTTTTGAAGTTTGAGCAAATTTTTCTACTGAAGAAACTCTCAAGAATAGCTACTGTTGCGTTTCAGAGGTTCCCTTCCAAATTATACAAACACTAAGGAATCTCGCGATCACGAGAAGTAAATCTATGCAAAATTTTTTCAAATGTCAATTCCACTGTCAACGTTTTAGGCTCAATTTTGCTCAGCAAATAACATATTAATAAAAAACTTAACACTGGTCTGTTGCGCAAAAACGTTTTTTTTATTTGATAAGTTTTATTAGAGATAATGTGATCGTTACCGTTCTGTTCTACCCGTCAGCTCTTGCGTTTACTTGAATACTTCGAAAAAAAATTTGCTATAAGCCTTAGACAGAGTTGATGCACAATGCAATCAAGTCTTTCATGGGAAACAAATGTCGCGTCTGCGATTCGCTCAGGGGATAGATTACATGAACTGTTGCTAGCAGAGTGAACGCCTTACCACCATGCTAAGTGCTTCTAGTCCTGAAAAAGCTATTTACCAGGACTTGTTCGACAAACAATCCTGGTCAAGGATTTCTTCAGTACTTTTTGCTGTTGAAAGTCATAACGACTGAACTAGTTAAATAAACATGAATTATCAATGAAAAAAAAATTAAATATGGTTTTTCATTTTCATTGGATGAATAACATTTTTTATTAGAATCTCGGGCAGTGGTTAAGATGACTGTATTTAAGATGCCTCTTTCTGCTTCTGAACTCTCTCAAATGCCGTCTCCTGAATTCAGTTTTTTTAGAAGTGCTCGCTTCATCTTTATTTCTCCTTCTATTCTTTTTCTTATTGCCGCCTTTTCCTGATTTGTCTTTTTTAGGCTCCTTCTTCCCTTGTTTGGATTTTTTCCGATTCTTCGGGTCTTCGCAAATCCAAGGGTTGTCTAGACACATGATGTTATGTTTGAACCAATGAAACGTCAGCTCCTCTCTGATGTTCTCATAGTCAAACGTTTTCGAATTTATTTCGGAGTTTCCGATATCGCCAAAATCATGACCAGCTAGCACGTATGGATAACCTTCCTTGACACTTACTGTGTGGTCCCTTCGGAGATTTCCAGGACCAAAACCAACATCCAAAATCATATTTAGGCAGAATTCATCCAGGAAATGTGCCTAGAAAAAAAGGGGTTCAGTTTAAAACTTCCCACACATTTTAAAATGTTTTTATGGGGGAGATTGCAAAATACATTAATAAATCACTTCACACACAACTTTGCCATTTAATTCATACTAGGGGGTACAAATGGGTTGGAAATGATGGCGTGGAAGTGTTTGATTTAGTCAGTTGGGTTAGAAAGATAAAAAGATGATTTAATATGGAAGGGTCAGGTTAGATCTTAACAATCATCCAACGGCTCATAGTGATGTTGATCTTATTTTTGAAAAAAAGGATTTTTTTAAAAAGAAATTTAAGTGCGCAAGCAATAGAGTAGATTTTCTGGTAGTTAGAAAGCAGCTGAATTAGTTTTTTATAGCTGAAATATTATTATTTTTAGCCTAATCGGGGCTGATTATAAAGGGCTATAGTTTTATAAAGCTCAGAAATAGCGTAAATAAATTGGCAGGAATCATCACTTGACTTAGGCTAAATATAGATCAAAACGCTGTAAATTCATCATCAAACGAACAGTTCTTGAGGATTTTTGTTCGAACTATTCGCCCTGAATATTTGTATATTGCATCAACCGTTAGAACTAACCGCAATAAAGTTGAGAGGTTTGTCTTCATTTTCATAATCGATCAGTTTCGCCATGTAGTCATCTGGATTCATATTTTGATTTTGCCACCCATGGAACATGTACTTGTTCACCTGCATCGTGCAGCAAGGTGCTAAAAAGATCCACTTTTTTCCCAATCACTCAACCAAACAACAAAATACTCTAGAATGAAGCTGAAGGAAAAAATGAGAAGCAAAGGGGGCTTGGGCAGGGGTGGATTCAACTTTTTTGTACAAAAATTTATAAAATTATCTTTCTACTTAAATCAAACATACCACATTGCTGAGCTCCTAATTTATTCAAAAGGCCAATTTTGATAATATATGATGCGGTGCTGGCGGTTTTTCAGAAAACGTGGCAAAGTGAATATTAGCGTCCAAGAACGTATGGAAAAACTTCTACATTGAAAATTCAAAAATATGACTAAATGAACTATGTCTCCCTAAATTCAAAATTGGGGACCTAATTCGCTTCGTTAAAAGCAATACTTTTCAGCCAAGCCAATTAGATTTGAGCATAGTACTTACTGCTTGAATTTGTCATGTAGTTTTAGGGAGAAAATTGTTCATTTGGTCTAATTAAGAGAGATTTTTGACATGGGATCAGAAATGTTTATAATAGCAGATAAAAAGGTATTGAAAGCTCAGAGAAATTAGCACCGAAGGCTCCAGCCACTTCAAATCGATGGCATTGAGGATAAGCAAATCCTATAGCCAAGTAAAATTGTGAATTCAATGACAAATTGAAATCACAATTGTACTTGGCTTTAAGAAAAGAAGGCCAAAATGCTTTTTACATGAAAACCCTGGAAAAAAAACTTAGAACTCAGAAGAAGAAACTTAGAATTTTACAGAGTTCTAATCTTGACAGAAAGACCAAGATTAATTAGAGAACTTTTATGAAATCTTATTACAACTGGCAAAAAATTACAAATTAGGAGATCTAGAGACAGAAGTAGCAAGAGATATTTTCCTTACTTATACGACAAACGTGTAAACTTAGAAAAAGATGCGTATCGAATAATTAACCCTTGAGAACGTAGAACGTATTAGACTATGTCTTAGTTCACGAAAACGACACAAAGATCCACCAACATTATGTAAAATACTCTTAAATAGCTTTTTAGAAAAATCCCAAAAACTTAAGTCAACTTAAACCAGGTACCCATAGTGAACTGACCCAAAATAATTTAGAAGACTCTGGAGAAAAGGTAGAAACTGTGGTCATTTTAAGAAGTAACATCTTTAATCTTGCCGGCTAGAGAACGAAATTGTAATAACTGCGGCCGCAATGGCCACTTTGGTCAGCATTGCAGAAGTACCATCAAAACAAAAACATATGTAGTAGAGCAAAAGGCAAATCTACCCGAACAACGACCCCACTGGGATACCCCACAAGATAACACCGAATTTAAAGTGGAATGGAAGCCTTCCTAGTATTTGCAGTAGATAGTGATTACGAAGTGAACGTTATTAAGGACAGGATCGAAAGAGGAATAATAACACTCTTCACTCATGAAGGTCACGCGCTAAAGAAAACACTTATGATGTTAATTGTAAACTTATGTCCATTCTCCACAAAAATTGAAATCGATTCAGCTACTCCACGAACTTAAATTAAGAATCACATTCCTAAGAATCGAAGCAGTGGACGAATTCAACTAGGCGGCTTATCAAGGATTCGGGAGTACGATCAATATCGTCGGAAAAATTGTGATAGGTATGCAGTCAAAAGGATGCGACGCTAAAAACCAACAACTAAATATCACTGAAGGGCAGAAAGGTTTTTGTTCGGTAATGACATTCCGTCAAACCTGGGGATAAAGGTATCTCAGCACTAGGCCCCACCCGCACAGTTCCAACCATGGACATAACCTAAGGAAACTTCCGTCAGAATACAAGTGAATCAGATCAATTTCGAATCGGACGTTCCTTCAAGTGCAAACACTGACACATCTCAACACCGTGAGTTTAAAATGTATATATCTAAAAAAAACCTAGACTTTCTTCAAAAACAGGCCGATCAAAACCTTATCCTGTGAGTACATACTTCAACGAACCATTAACATCGATACAGGTAAAAGGCAGGCGCCTATACCTATACACTTTCTCTCAAAAGTCAAACACTGTATCGACGAATTTCTTAACGACGGTCACATTGGAAAACCCTCTACTTAATCGGAACAATGTTTCATCTCCCCCATCGTCATAACAGCTACAAGTCATGGATCGATTAAATTAGCCTTGAACTCAAAACTACTAAATAAATAGATATTCCGTAACAGGGTTCAAATGGTTAACTGGTTCGAACAAATTGACAACGTCGCCCTAAAAATTATTGGCCACGAGGAGAACAATATCTACTTCGCATCCATAGATTTAAAATACGCCTATGGCCAGACACCACTGTGAAGAAAATCGAGTAATCAATGTAATTTTAACATGGTAGGAGGATACGTAAAGGGCTCGTTACGATTCAGAACAGAATTTCATGTCCTAGGATATATGTCAAACGAGTTTCAACAAATAATGGACCAGTTGACTGAGATTCTTGTGTAGATGACATTGTACTCGCTACAATTGGTAGCGCAAAAATCTATTGCAAAATAGTTACAGAAGTTTTAAAAACTCTAGGCGACAAAGAATTAATCAAAAACTGGGAAAAAAGGTAAATTTTACCCATAGTGTATAGTGGTTCGGATTCAAGATCAATGCTAAAAGAACCACCCCTGACCCAAAAATCTTATGCAATTAGTAAGCTAAAAAAGCCAAAGTGTATCGAAGACATCAGATCAAAAATGGTTTCAATAATCGAATCCACGAATGCAACTCAAACACCAAACTCAGAAGAAGAAACTTAGAATTTTACAGAGTTCTGGGAACTATTAAAGATCACATCAACTTTTACTACGAACTTAACAAATGAAAGATACAATTTTTTTGGGCAAAGACAGAAAGACCAAGATTAATTGGAGAACTTTTATGAAATCTTATTACAACTGGCAAAAAATTACAAATTAGGAGATCTAGAGACAGAAGTAGCAAGAGATATTTTCATTACTTATACGACAAACGTGTAAACTTAGAAAAAGATGCGTATCGAATAATTAACCCTTGAGAACGTAGAACGTATTAGACTATGTCTTAGTTCACGAAAACGACACAAAGATCCACCAACATTATGTAAAATATTCTTAAATAGCTTTTTAGAAAAATCCCAAAAACTTAAGTCAACTTAAGCCAGGTACCCATAGTGAACTGACCCAAAATAATTTAGAAGACTCTGGAGAAAAGGTAGAAACTGTGGTCATTTTAAGAAGTAACATCTTTAATCTTGCCGGCTAGAGAACGAAATTGTAATAACTGCGGCCGCAATGGCCACTTTGGTCAGCATTGCAGAAGTACCATCAAAACAAAAACATATGTAGTAGAGCAAAAGGCAAATCTACCCGAACAACGACCCCACTGGGATACCCCACAAGATAACACCGAATTTAAAGTGGAATGGAAGCCTTCCTAGTATTTGCAGTAGATAGTGATTACGAAGTGAACGTTATTAAGGACAGGATCGAAAGAGGAATAATAACACTCTTCACTCATGAAGGTCACGCGCTAAAGAAAACACTTATGATGTTAATTGTAAACTTATGTCCATTCTCCACAAAAATTGAAATCGATTCAGCTACTCCACGAACTTAAATTAAGAGACACATTCCTAAGAATCGAAGCAGTGGACGAATTCAACTAGGCGGCTTATCAAGGATTCGGGAGTACGATCCTTATCATCGGAAAAACTGTGATAGGTATGCAGTCAAAAGGATGCGACGCTAAAAACCAACAACTATATATCACTGAAGGGCAGAAAGGTTTTTGTTCGGTAATGACATTCCGTCAAACCTGGGGATAAAGGTATCTCAGCACTAGGCCCCACCCGCACAGTTCCAACCATGGACATAACCTAAGGAAACTTCCGTCAGAATACAAGTGAATCAGATCAATTTTGAATCGGACGTTCCTTCAAGTGCAAACACTGACACATCTCAACACCGTGAGTTTAAAATGTATATATCTAAAAAAACCTAGACTTTCTTCAAAAACAGGCCGATCAAAACCTTTTCCTGTGAGTACATACTTCAACGAACCATTAACATCGATACAGGTAAAAGGCAGGCGCCTATACCTATACACTTTCTCTCAAAAGTCAAACACTGTATCGACGAATTTTTTAACGACGGTCACATTGGAAAACCCTCTACTTAATCGGAACAATGTTTCATCTCCCCCATCGTCATAACAGCTACAAGTCATGGATCGATTAAATTAGCATTGAACTCAAAACTACTAAATAAATAGATATTCCGTAACAGGGTTCAAATGGTTAACTGGTTCGAACAAATTGACAACGTCGCCCTAAAAATTATTGGCCACGAGGAGAACAATATCTACTTCGCATCCATAGATTTAAAATACGCCTATGGCCAGACACCACTGTGAAGAAAATCGAGTAATCAATGTAATTTTAACATGGTAGGAGGATACTTAAAGGGCTCGTTACGATTCAGAACAGAATTTCATGTCCTAGGATATATGTCAAACGAGTTTCAACAAATAATGGACCAGTTGACTGAGATTCTTGTGTAGATGACATTGTACTCGCTACAATTGGTAGCGCAAAAATCTAATGCAAAATAGTTACAGAAGTTTTAAAAACTCTAGGCGACAAAGAATTAATCAAAAACTGGGAAAAAAGGTAAATTTTACCCATAGTGTATAGTGGTTCGGATTCAAGATCAATGCTAAAAGAACCACCCCTGACCCAAAAATCTGATGCAATTAGTAAGCTAAAAAAGCCAAAGTGTATCGAAGACATCAGATCAAAAATGGTTTCAATAATCGAATCCACGAATGCAATTCAAACACCTTGTTATTTAGATGACATTTGAATTAAGTAAAACTCCCCGGTAAAAACAGGGTAAAGTAGGTAAAAAGCTAAGACCATTATCAACTCAACTAACCTCGTAAAACTCCCAAGGGTCGAAGAACCAAATTAAGAGGTGGATTCAGTTTTTTTCGGCCCTCACCATTGTGTCGGGGAACAAAAAATACACACTCG